CCCCGCCTGGTTTCTGGCCACGGAGGCCCCATCTCTAAACGAGGTCCCTTCTGCGGGTCCAGGGGCCCTGCCGCTGGGCACCAGGACTGGGCCTGCCGGGCCTTTCTAGCCCTGTGTGCCCCCGATGGCCCGTCAGTGTTTCGGGGCCTCCACCGGGCACCTGCGGCCCTTCCCCCACCTGCTCTGCGCTCCGTGCGCCCCTCCTCCCTCCTCCCTGAAACCACGGCCCCAGCCCCCACTTAGAAAACAGTCGCCCCTGGATCCTGGTGCCCGCCTGTCTCTCTCTGTACGGAGGCCTCCCCGCCCGACGAGGCCACCGGCAGCACCTGGTCTGCCGGGCTCCGGGGGCACCCTGGGGTCGCGGCCAGGCGGGAAACGGGGGCGGACGGGGGACAGACCCACACGTAGAAGCCGTGACTGCTGTGGGCTGGTTTAGCCTGAAGGGACGTGTCAGGCCGGGCAAACCCCAGCCTCCGACCTCCGGCCCCCACAGTCCCCGGAGCCACGTGATAACCTGGCCCACGGCAGGTGGGCACGCCCTCCCCTGGGCCCCGCCGTGGCACTGCAGAGGGAGGGAGGGGTCCCCTGCAGCGGAGGACCTGGGGCAGCCAGCGGGGTGGGGACCAGGGAGCAGGGCCCTGCCCCAGCCCCCAAGAGGAGGGCGTGAGGCAGCTGCTGTGGTCCAACCGCCTCGGGCCCAGGAAGCAGCTGCTCCCACCGTGGGGCCTGGGCCGCAGATGGGCCGGACCGGGCAGTGTCGGCCCGTCCCCGTCCGGCCTGCCGGTCGCCTGCCCCCTCCCAGCCCTCGGGTGGGCACGCGGGTGAGAGGGGGTACCCAGGAGGGAGCGCCGCAGGGCACCTGGGGCGCTGCTCATCCCCCACTACCTTGTCCTCTAAACTCAGGAACTGCTTCACCCAGCCGGAAGCCCCAGCAGCCCAGTGACAATTTCAAAGCCAGGAGGCATCGGTCATTCGGACTCAGACGCTCCTTCCTGGGCGGGGTCCTTGGGGACCGGGGAGGTTCCAAGAGTTGGCTCCGCTGGTGGCAGCCCCGGGGACCCAGGAAAGGCCGCTGGGCCAGGCGCGAGGCCCGTGGGCTGCGCAGGGGGAGGTGCAGTGGTGTCTCCAGACAGAACTGCGCCGGAAAGCTGGTGCCGTCTTCAGGGGCTGGGGCCCAAGCCCCGGCCGGGCAGAGCCTGGCCAGCAGCGAGGGGGCCCCGAAGGCGGCGCTGCAGCCTCTGGCCGGGCCAGGAGGGCTTTCCAACAATTGTCTGAAAACAAACCAGCCCGCTCACCAGGAAGTGAGTCCCCTGTCCTGGGAGGGGGGCGGGTTCTAAGGTCTGTGACCCTGAGCCTTCTAGTTTCTCGCTGCTGGCGCCCCAGACGTTCTGCGACAGGGAGGGGAGAAGGCTGGACGGGGGCGCACCTGTCTCGGCCAGTGGGCACGGCGGGCGCCCCCAGGCCCGGACGGGGCCCCTCCCAGGCCCGGCTGTGCTGGGGTGGGAGCATTCCGGCTCCACGGCGCCTCGGCTGGGTCACCCCCAGGCCTCAGCTTCCCTTAGCGTCGGGCTGACATGCTGAGGTGGCAGGGCTCAGCGGCCCCCACGCCCCAGGGCCCAGGCTGACTCCAGGGGTCCAGAGGCCGCGGGGACCTTGCCGGGGAGGCGCTGTGCAGAGAGGACACAGCCACTGTCCTGGGAACATGGAAGGGTCGGGGACAGCATTTTCTTAAGAAATCTTGACCAAATTCCTCTCTAAGTGTGAATGGAAATCAATTCCCTTACTTTGTAATAAGTAAATAGATGTGGCACTAATAACAGCAACAGGGACCGTGGGCTCATTTGAGCACACTTTGCATTTTACAAAGTGCTCCCCCATGAGTGGCAAGTACAGGCATGGCTCTCTCGGTGCCAGGGGGCCGGCACGTGCACCCCACGCCCCACGTAAGGGTCAACCTTGGCAGGACGGCCACAGACCAGACAGCTCAGGCTCAGGCCAGCTGTGATCTCCTGTCTCTTTTGCCCCAGAACTACACTTGCCCCACACTCCCAGCATCCAAGGTGGCCCGTGCCCGTGGTCCAAGACCCGCTGCGTCCCTTTTCCCAGCTGCGTAGCACTTCACCCCGGGACGTCCCAGTTTATTCGGCAGGGCCCTGAACAGTGACGGCTTGGCGGTTTCCAGCCTCTGATCACAGCCGATGCCACCATGAGAGGCCTCCTACACCCCCACTCCCACACGTGGACAGGTGTTTCTGGCACAGATTTCTAGAAGTGGGGTTGCGGGGCCCCAGGACAAGTAAGGTCCAGTGGGAGTCGGGGAGAAGCTGGCCTGTCCCCCAGCCCCCACGCACAGCCCGCGGGGTCCTTCCCCCAGCCCAGCCGTCGCAGGATGTGGTCCCATTTGGGGAGTCTGATAAGAGGGGGAAGGAAATGCAATGTCATTTTAATGTGCTTTTCTCTTATTATGGCCATCTGTCCCCGCGTTTGTCATTTCGCATTCCCTTTCCGTGAATCATCTATTCATAGCGTAGCTTTGCCTCTTTTATTTGTCTTTTCCTTTCTATTTCTAGGAGGCCTTGGCACAGGAGGGAGAGAGCCCCCGGGGACCGGGGCCGCAAGCACTTTTTCCTGGTACATTCTTTGTGTTCTGACTCGGCTCACGGCAGTTTTTGCCTGGAGTCCTTTTTTCTTTTTTAATGGTGTCTGGATTTTTAATTATGATTAGAAAAACCTTTTCTCACTGAAAATTTTCAAGGAAGTCATTCATGTTGTCTTCAAATGTTTTAATGTTTTTTAAATGTATTTTTATGGTAAAATAGACCTAACGTGAAATGAACCATTTTAATCATTTGGAAGTGTAGAGTTCAGTGCCGTAAGTACATTCACATTTTGGGGCAACCTTCACTGCTCTCCACTTCCAGAACTTTTTGTCATTTAATGGTTTCTTTTTAAGAATCTTAATGCTTTGAGCTGGCCAGGTAGCTCAGCTGGTTAGAGCAGCGTCCTCATACACCAGGGTTGTGGGTTGGATCCCCGTTCAGGGCACATGTTATCACTTTGCCCCAACATCATTTATTAAAAACTCCATCTTCGACCCTGGCTGATGTGGCTCAGTGGATTGAGCGCTGGCCTGGGAACCAAAGCGTTGCTGGTTCGATTCCCAGTCAGGACACGTGTCTGGGTTGCAGACCAGGTCCCCAGTGGGGGGTGCGCAAGAGGCAACCGCACACCGATGGGTCCGTCCCTCTCTCCCTTCATTCCCCTCTGTCTAAAAGTACATAAATAAAACCTAAAAAAAACAAAACAAAAAATCCCCTCTATCTTCACTCTGTTTTATTGAGCTCCTTTTAAAGCTGAGGAAACTAAGACCCAGGGAGGTGAAATGAAGAGGCCCCCAGGCATGGCCACCATCTTCCACTTCCGTCCGCTTCTAACCGCTTGATGCCCGGCTTTCACGGACTGAATGAGACTCCTTAGAACACACTCTTCGTAACCACAATTTAACGTGAGAAGGCTGCAGTCAAGTTAGGAAGGCGAGGATGCGAGTGAGAAGCTCGATTATGCCAACCACGGCGGGGCCCGCGGGGAGCGGCTGTGAAGTGGGTGGGCCCCACGCAGAGCGGTGGCAGGGGAAGGGGACCCCCTTCCAGTCCCGGGGGAGAACACTCTGAAAACAGCCCGGAGAGGGCTGGTTGGGCGGGCGGCTCCTGCCGCCCCTGCGTTCGTTGGCAGCAGCCAGGGCCGCGGTGGGCCCGCAGGCAGGGCGCCGTGAACGCTGAGTGCAGGCGGGGCTTTGGGAAGGGAGCCCAGGCCCCCCCAGCAGGAAGCCCCCGGCTCCCTAAGGGCCGGGCCTGCTGCGGTGCTAAGGGCACACGGGAGGCCCACACGCTTCTCGGCACTGTCCCGTCCGTGTCCCAGGATGTATCCAAAGGCGCTGGCGGCGCCGGCCACCCTGGCAGAGGCTCCGTGCCCGCGGGAAGCCCACCGATCCGCCGGAGCCCTGGTGGATTCCGGCCTCTTCATTCACGGCTCCGACAGGCAGCCTCCCGGGGGCAGCTCGTTGATTCTGAGGCCGGGGTCCCGAAACCCTCAAGGGGCAAGGCCTCCGTCCCAGCGCTGAGCGGGCCAGGCCGGGCGACATCCGGTGGGCCGCCTTGCCAGCTCTGTCCTCCATCTGCGGCGGGGGAGGCGGCTCGGCTCCCCAGGGCCTGCCCTTGCGGAGGTCGCCCCGTGGCCGCCACCAGCTGGGGCTCGGGCCGGCTGCTTCCTGGACCCTGGGTCTGGGAGCCCTGGATCCTGGAGCTGGCATCAAAGCCCTTTACCACCATGTCACATAGTTGACTCTCCTACTGAAAAGAGATGTTTCTCTTTACCCACTCGTTCGTCAAAACTGGGTCATCAGGAGACTGATGGGGGCGTTCCTCAGGAGGGGCCGCCAGGAGCCCTTTCCTCGTCTGGGGTCGGGGGACCAGGCTGCAAAGCAGGGAGGTCTGTGTGCCCCCCCGCACATGTCCAGCTCGTCGCTTCTTGTGAAAACCTCGGGACCCTGCGACCGGGTTGTAATGTCCGCAGCACTGTCCTGGGGCCACCCTGGGAACGGCGGGATGAGACTGGGGACACGCCAGGGGGCCCGCTCGGGTAACACGGACACACGCGAGGCGCCCCACCTGCAGCACAGGTGCATTCTGGCCGCCCTGTGCAGGCGGGCCCAGGGCGGCGCCCGGGCGCTGAAGGAGCGGAGGGCCGGGCGGCTCCCACGGCCGCGAATCTGAGAGCTCCACGCGCGTCGGGTCGGAGGAGGCCGGGGAACCCGGCGCGGCAGAACCCGGCCTTTGCACGCGCGGCTGACCGTAGGGGGCGGGGCCTCCGGGGGCGGGGCATCACCGCGCGGTGGGCGGGGGCCGGGTGGGCGGGACCGTGACGCCCGCGGTGGGCGGGGCGGCGTGACGCGCGACGCCGATCCCGGAAGCGGTGTCAGATGCTTGGGAGCCGGGCGGGCGGCGCGCTGGCTGCGGGCGGCGGGGGGGACTTGTTGTTCTTCGCGAAGTCGGAGCCCGAGCGCGCGGCGGAGGCGGAGGCGGCGGCCCAGGGGGAGCGCGAGCGTGAACGCGAGCGGGAGGAGAGCGCGTGCCCGCGAGGAGCCGCCGCGCGCCCGCGGCCCCCGCGCGACGCCAGGTGAGGGGCTGTCGGGCGGGGCCTGGAGGGCCGGGGGCGCGGTGGCGGGCAACCCGCCGGTGAGTCGGGGCCGCAGGGGACTCTCGACGAAGTTGGGCGGGACCCCGAGCCTGACGCCGGGCCCGCGCACCTGCCGTCAGGTGTGCTGCCCCGGAGCGTCGCGCGGGCGGGGCGCCTTGTCCAGGCCCGTAGACTGGGTCGCCTTCCTTTTCAAGGCTGGGGAGCGCGCCCCCTTCCCCGCCCCGTGCGGGAGCCTGGAGACGCTGGGCTCCCAGAGGAGGGCGGCGCGGGGGTGCCCGGGTGTCTCGACTCCCCCTCCCTCCCCACCTGTCTGCGTTTAGCCTCCGGAGGCCGACTCCGAGGCGGGAAGGCGGGGGCGAAAATAATCCACCACGTGCAGGGAGCGCGTGGTCGCGCTGGGCCACTCGGCCTCCGATACCCGAGCGGCTCCGCGTTCTGCCCGCCGGCCCTGCGGCCCCTTTCTCCCACGTCCGCGGCGGGGTCCACACCTATCGAGGTGGGGAGGGAAGAAGCTGGGGACTCGCCGATCGAAGTCACGTTCAAAGCAGCGGGCCTGCCGGGGCTTCCCCGGAGGGAGGCCTCCGTGGGACAGCTTTGGGTGGGGAGGGGGACTGGGCACACATGTCACTTCCCCAAACCCCTCCTCCGGGCTCGGTTTCCTCCTCGGTGAATGAGCCTCTCTTCTAACTTTAAATGCGGGTGTTTCTGTGATCGTGCGGAGTTTAGGACACAGGTGCTGTGCCAGTCTATCCGCTTACACACCTGCGGAGCCTGGGAGGGGATGGTGGGGAAGAGTCTGACTCCTCGGAGCAAAGCCTTGCCCTGCCTCCCCAGGATTCCCACGCACTTGCGGAGCCTTCACCGCGGACCCCTGCCTGTGGCAGGGCGGCTCAGCCAGCCGGGGTTGCTGGTAGTTGCGGGCTCTCTCCTGTGTTAATGATTACGCCCCTGTTTACCTTTCACACGGCTCTTCTGGCCAAGCAGGAATGGGATCTTGCACCTAACAGTTCATTCAGCCACGGGCCCTTAGCAGCCACCTTCTCTGCTCAGGGACACACCCAAGCCAGGGCCGTGGGGTCAGTGGATTCCTCGCTGCCCAACGGCCGCCCAGGCTTGACTGGTTTTGCTAAGGCCCTGCTGCCCGCGCTCGGGGCGCAGGTGCTGTGCCAGGACACGGCCTCCGGAGCGCTGGCTCCAGGCCTGCGGTCCTCGGGGGCACCGGGCTCTCGGGAAGGTGGCTCTGGGCTGGTGGGAGGGGTCTGGGGGGCACACTTGCCACCTTTCGCACTGTGGGCAGTGGAGGAGCTTCCCGGGCTCCTCTGCCCTGGTGACCCAGCAGGGACTTCAAGTTGGAGCCTGGTCGAGGGGACCGGCTTTTACAACTGAAAGCTAGACTCTTATTTAAAAATAAAGCGGATGTTAATGCACACAGCAAGGCTTCTCCCAGGAGCATTTGCTTTTGCGCTGAAACGCATCTGGACTTCAAGGGACCCGTTCCAGGTTCAGCGTCCCCCATTTCCCAGGTGGTGGCTGAGCCGGGCGTTGACTCGAGGCCGCGTGGGGAAGGGCTCTCACTGAGCGTGGGGCTGGCTGCTCCAGCCCCGGGGCTGCAGGAGCTGGGGGGCGGCCCGGGTGCCCTGCTTTGTCCGCAGCTGCGTGCGCTCCTCTGCGGGCCCCGGAGCCACGGGAGAGTTTGTTTACAGTCTTCTCGTGGCCTGGGAGATGCCCTGCCTGCTGCCCGGCTGTCCTGGAGCCGGATGGCTTCTGGAGCAGACTCGCTGGGTTTCGGTCCGGTCCACACGGGAAGCGCAGCCCCGGCCAGCTGGGCCGCTCCTCCGCGCAGTAAACAGTGACTCACCCTCCCTGCACCGCCCCCTGCTCGTGCTGGTGGAAGGTGCGCGGCTCCCTGCGATATTTACTTTTGCTTTTCATAATCACACACTTGTCATGCTTCCTCTTTCCTACAGTTTCAGGAAGTTGAAAGTGTCATCTCTCAACCCTAGAGTTTTAGGGCAGGTGGGGACGAACCTCAGAGCACCCAGCACACGCACGCCCACACACAGCCGCTCGCACACGCACAGTCATGCACACGCACACACATACTCCCACCCCTGTCGGACGAGGGAGCTCAGCCCAGGGGGCCTGGCCCGGCCGGTGGTGGCGGAGGCATGTGGCCGCCCGCCGGCCCTTCTGCGCTGCCTGTCTGAGTGTCCAGGCCCGGGGAGCGGAGGGGTGTTGGGGTGGGAGTCGTCCCCGGGCCTCCCTTCAGAGCTGTGCGAACACATCTGCTTATGCAGCAAACCTTTCACCTGCCGGGGGTGGGGGGCAGGTGTCGGGGTGGGGGTCCCCGGCTGCCCCCCTGGGTGGGGAAGGCCAGCCTTGGGCACGAAGAGCACGCGCGGCCCTGTGTGCTCAGGAGTGCAGGAGGGGGCTTCCGAGTGAGGCCAGGGTTGGGGGGAGGGCGGGGGAGAAGGGTGAGAGCCAGCACAGATTTTTGGGGGGGCTCTAAGAAGCCGAGGGGAGGCCTGGAACGTGACAGGTCAGTAGGTGGCCAGGGCAGGGGAGGGCTTGGGAAGGATGCTGAGGGGGGTGGGCATCCCCTGCCTGCCAGTGGGGGCAGTATTTGGGGGGCCTCGCTGGGACGGAGCTGCCGGGCTGCAGCAGGGGTGCTGGGCTGAGGCCAGCAGACCAGGGCCGGTGAGTGGACGTGTGAGGAGAGGAGAGGCCTCAGGGGCATTTTCTGGGGTCATCCCCTGAGCTGGAGACACAGGAGGAGGGCAGGTGTCCCGGGGGACGTCCTGGCTGCGTGCGGAGCCTGGGCCCGTGGTGGCCTGGCCACGGGAGAAACGGGAGACGGGCCGGGCAGAGGACAGAAGCCCGCAGCGGCGCAGGAGCAGGCCCGGCTGAAGCGGGGGGGTGGGAGCGAGGGCCCCGGCCCGGCTGGCCGGAGGTGTGGCGCTCAGGCTGCCATGAGCCGCCACCGGCTGAGTCACCTCTGGACGTGGCCAGGATGACACAGCTTCCTCGAACTGCAAAGGCAAGGTGACCAGACGTCCTCCAAGCCCGGCAGACAGTCACGTCTTGCTGGAGGGCACCCAGCCAGGGCCAGCCTGCAAGCTGGGTGTGGGCCGGGCTGGAGGGGCGCCCAGCAAGGCTCTGAGGGGCGCACCCCCACGTTGAGGGGAGCTGGCGCCTGGAATCCGGAGTGGGCGGGGCGTGGGGAGCCCTCCCGTCTGCGAGGTGTCGGCCGCTGGGTGCCATGCGCTTGATGTGAGGGCCCTGCTGGGCTTGGAGGGCGCTCAGCATTGGGTGGCTGCGAAGGCCCCGGTCCCCCTGGGGCAGAGGTGGCCCCGTCCAGGCGGTCAGGGTGAGTCAGCTGCTGCTCCCCTGGGGAGGAGCCCCTTCCCTGCGTCCCGCGGAGCCTGCTGCCGCCCCTGCCGCTCCTCTGGGACTGCCGTCCTGAGACGTGGGGGGACGCAGTGGGCGGGGTGTTGGTCTTGGTCGGGGGCTGGCAGGGCCGGCCCCGCGGTGGCGGCCGAGGCAGGGACCCCCTGCCCTCCCCCCCGCCCACGCCGGACAGGAGCAAGTGTTCCGGAGGGCCCGCCCGTGCTGTGTGCCGGGTTCGGTCTCCTGCCCCCCGGAGGCGCGCCGGGCAGGGCGTCTTGCTGGTTCCTCTAGGTGAGAATGAGAGTCTTCGAGCCCTGGCCGTTGCGGCGCAGGGCCGCGGGTGTCCGCACGCCGAAAGGCCGCTGGTTCCGTTCCCGCCGGTCCAGTTCCCAGGCAGGACACCTGCCTGGGCTGCAGGTTCGGTCCTCAGTTGGGGCACATACAAGAGGCAACCCATCCGTGATGATGTTTCTCTCCCTCTTTTTCTCCCTCTCTTCCTGTCCCTCTAAGAACATATAAATAAAATGTAAAGAAAAGAAGAAAATAAAAAGAGCCTTCGAAAGTCTGAAACTCCCTTTTCTGCTAGGTTATCTAGACCCGGGGCTGTTGGAGTCTTCGCTCCTAGTTGGCTTTGCCGATGGGCCCTGAAGCCGGGGCCGGCCGGCACCTGCCATAGAGGCCAGGAGCCGCATTGAAGCGGTGGGCGAGCGGTCAGCGTCGGCTGGGAGTTGGGGTCCAAGTCCCAGGCTCCAGCTTGCCCGCTCTAGGGCAGTGGGGCCTGGGCCCACCAGGAGGCCCAGGGCAGGACCCCGGGCCGCTCACAGGGCTGGCAGGGGAGGGACGCCGGCCCCCAGCGCGCCCCAGCCCGCCGCCATGGAGCGGGCCCACCCCCGCTGCCGGTGGGCTTCCGCTCGCTGGAGGAAGTCGGCTTTCCTGTTCGCTGCGCGCAGAGGCGCATCAGAGGGGAGTTTCTGGCCTCGGGCTGGAGAACAGCCTCTTCAATTAGGAAGGTGGTCACTGCGAAGTGTCCTGAGCGGCAGCTGTGGACTGCGTGCCCTGTCGACCGCGTGCCCTGTGGACCAGCAGCGTCACCAGGCCTGTGGAGGCGAGCTCGTGGCTGTCCCCACGGTGGCAGCGCGGCCCTGCCTGGCGCTGGGACTCCCTGCGTGACTGAGTTTGTTCTCTGGTGGACGTGGGCCAGCACCTGGGGCGCCTCCAGTGCGACCGGCCGCCGACGCGGCAGTGCTGGCGTTGGGCCACGGGGGGCCGGGGCGGGCAGCGGGCGCCCGCCGCAGGTGCCAGGCCGCCCGTGGCTGTCTCCACGCAGCTGGGCACCGGGCGTGTGAGCGGCCCTCCGCACGCCGGGGGCGCTGCGGTTCCCTGGTCTGCGGGCACCTCGTGCGGGACGGTGGTGGTTTGAATCCTCACCCTGGGACACGTTTATTGATTTCAGAGAGGCTGGGGGAGAGGGAGACAAACGTCGATGTGCGCGCGAAGCCTCGGTTGGTCGCCTCCCGGACGTGCCCCGGCCGCCAATCGCACTGCAGGCTTTTGGTGTGTGGGTAACGCTCCAGCCAAACGGGCCCCCGGCCGGCGCTGGGCAGCCGCTTCGAAGCAGCAGCGCTGCACCCTCTCACGTGCCAGGACGGTTCTGCCGACCTCTTCCCAGGGGCCCGTGGTCATTTCTCTAACGTTCTGAGCGCTCCGGTCAGTGCCGCGCATCTGGCGTGGCCGGGCCCCTGCAGCACCGGCGACGGCCCGCGCCGGTTGCTTGGGTCGGGGCGGAGGCCGCCAGGGTCTCCCGCGGCTGTCGGGGGCCCAGGGGAGTGGGCCCCAGAAGGTGGGCAGAGCCGAGGCCCGATGCGCCTGCGGCAGCGGGGGTCCCGGCGGTCCTGGGTCTCGGGCCCCTCGGGGGCCCTGGCGCAGCCCCGAGGGTGTGTGTGGCGCAGAGCCCCCATCAGGGCCGCTCCTGAGTCAGCCCCTTGGCCCAGCTGAGGCGCTGCGAGCCGGACAGGCCCCGGGGCCCTCGCCCCAACCGCCCCTTTCTGAAGAGGGGATGGGGACACACAGAGAGAGGGTCGGCTCGTTCTTTGCGAGCTCGATCTCGAGGAGACAGCGTCCCCCCGCGTCTGCAGGCGTCTGCTCCTCCGGGCCTCACGTTACACTTGTTGAACAGACGGCCTGAGAACTGAAGAGAGGTCCTGAGGTCAAACCCCTGGTCGGGGAACCCCGGGGCCTCTCTTCTGTCCCTGCTGAGGCTCCTCGCCTGGCGTCCGGGCCCCCAGAGGCCGAGGGAGGCGGGCGGGGCGGGCTCCGCGCTGAGCGACCGGACTCCAGGCTGCGGCAGGGAGGCCGGCCCACCTGTGGGCATCCCGGCTGTGTCCCCACCCCAGCAGGGTCCCACGGCAGCAGGCACGGGAGGCAGCATCCCTGCCCTGAGCTCTGCCCCGCGGCCCGTGTCCTGGCTGGGAAGGCTCTGGACACAGCCGTCGCCGCCTGGTGGGGTCGGCGTGGGGTCCGCCGGAGGCCCGGCCCTGGCTGGGGCCTTCCCTTTTCCCTTTGGGCGGGCGGGGCCGGTCTGTGGGAATGTGAGCTTGTGCTCTGTAAACAGCCGGTGACTCAGCGCAGAGCTATGCCTGGCGCCTCCAGGCCCTCGTGCGCTGACGTGCTCGCCGGGATGGGAGCCGCGCTGACCCCCGCCGCCCTTCCTCGCTCCGTGTGGCAGCGGTTCTCACAGCCCCGGCGGCTTCTCCGGCGGCTTCTCCCGTGCGGCTGTGACCGCAGCCCTGGAGGGCAGGGCGGGCCCACGGGGCCGCCCCACATGCCAAGGGTCGAGCCGCTGTCGGAAGCGGCGCTCAGCTCCTTGCTGGGATCTCCCCAGACCCCAGCCCGTCGCCTCGGGCACACGTGTGTGACCACGTGAGGGGTGCGGGGGTCTCCAGCCGGCCCTGCTCCCCACCGCCCTCTGTCAGCGCCCAGGAGGGGGCCGTGGCGGGGGCTGCAAGCCTGGTGCCTGGGCCCTGCTCTGGGTGGGCAGCCGCGGTGGCGAGGGGCCGGCAGGCCCGTGGCAGTGCCTGAGGCAGGGGCGGGGGGCGGGGGCTCCTGGGGCTGCAGCCCTGGGAGGGGTGGGGGCCGCCCACCCAGCTGAGCCTGGATCGAGGTGGAGGCTGTGATAGGGCCCCGTCCCTGGGGCCCGAGGACCCTCCGAGGTGCGTTTGTTTCTCTGGCGTTTGCCCGCCTGGCTTGCCCGTCTGGGGTCTGGCACGTCAGGTGGCCCCCGAGCTGCGGGCTGGTGGCAGGTCGGCCAGCAAGCCTGGTGCCCTGCCCCCCACCCCGCCACAGGGCACAGGGGTTGGTTTACTGTCCCACAACCTGCGATGTCGGCCCTGCTGGCCCGAAGCCATTGTTGCTGTGGGCTTCTCTGTTTCCATGACGACCATCAGGAGTTGGCTACTTCCCAAGGTCTCCATGGCAACTATCAGAGGGGAATCGTGCTTGGGATGCTTGGCTGGCTTTTTCATGAATGATTAGAATGTGTGACACCATGCAGACGCGCAGACGAGAAGGGCGGCGCTGGCCGGCGGCGGCGGGGACGCTCCGAGGCTCCACGGCTCCGCCAGACGCGCGGGCTCCTCAGGTGGCGGCCGCCCTCCCTGCCGTCAGCTCCCAGGCCGCTGTGGGCGCCCCGCCCCCGCCCGCCCTCGGGCCCAGGTCCGGGCTGGGGCCGCCCCGGTGGGGCCGCGATGTCACAGCTGCCGTGCCCTTGGCAGAGGTAGGCCCGCGGGGGGGCGGGGCCCCCAAACGGGCCCACGCTCTCGGGGGCCGCAGGGGCTTCGCTGGGGCAGGTGCTGCCCGCGCCGGGTGGCCCCTTGGGTGCCAGGTGGGGCCGTCCTCGGGGCGCCTTTGCTGCGTGCGCCTCGGCCGCGGACAGGCTCCGGGTGCGAGCGCCAGCGCCCGCCTGGTGTTCCCTCCGGAGCTGGCACCCTTGGCGGCGGTGGGGGGGGCACTGCGCCACGGTGCGCCCGGCCACCCTGGGAGCCGCTGGGGTCCCCTGGGCGGAGCCCCAGGCCCGGCCGCCTGCCCGCCCTGGCTCTTGGGGCGCTGTGCCTGGACGGAGGGAGGGTGCACCCAGCCTGCTCGGAGCCTCCGCGGTGGGCGGCCGCTCCAGGCCACCTGCGGCGGAGCCCGCCTGTCCCCAGCCCGGCAGCACCCGACCTGCCCGTTTGTGTCCTGTGCCCTTCCAGTTACGGCTTCCGAGCAGCTCTGCCCCGGGGACCGTGCCCAGGTTATGACGACGAATCCCAAACCGAACAAGGCGTTCAAGGTGAGTGGGGCGCGGGCGGGCGGGGCGCCGGCGGGTGGCCGAGCTGCCCCTGCCCAGCCCCTCCCCGCCCCCTGGACCCCCCTCCGCGCGGTCGGAAGGCAGCCCCCTCACCTGGAACAGGTGGGGAGAGTTGGGGGCTGTGGCCTCAGGAGACGCCAGCCCTGGGGTCCGGGCAGTTGGCTTCCGTGTGGAGGGTGGAGGGTGGACCCCTCCCCTGGGTAGGGGCCCCGTGGCCCGGCCCAGGGCCTGCCTCTGACGGTCCCTCTCAGCCTCTGAGGCTGGCGGTGCCCTGGGGCCGCAGTCTCTGGCCCTGGGAGCCAAGGGGCATCTCCGCGTGTCTGTGGGCTGCGTACCCCCAAGCCTTCCCGCCACCCCCCCCTCCGTGTCAGTCTTGCGCCAGGCGCCGGGGTAGCCGACGGCCCCTCAGGGAACGACCTGTGTTGCAGCCGCGGTGGCCGCGGTGCTGAGGGGCTCCCCGGGGTGGGGGGGTGCCAGGGCGGCCTGGGGCGCGGGGGCCGCCTCCAGGACCAGGGCTCCCGGACACCGAGCCGCTGGCGGGGTCCAGCGCTGACCGCGTGCCTGGGCCCGCAGGTCAAGAAGGAGGCGGGCGAGAACGCCCCAGCGCTCAGCGACGATGAGCTGGTGTCCATGTCGGTGCGGGAGCTGAACCAGCACCTGCGGGGCCTGTCCAAGGAGGAGGTGGTGCGGCTCAAGCAGCGGCGCCGCACGCTCAAGAACCGCGGCTACGCCGCCAGCTGCCGCATCAAGCGGGTGACGCAGAAGGAGGAGCTGGAGCGGCAGCGGGTGGAGCTGCAGCGGGAGGTGGAGAAGCTGGCCTCGGAGAACGCCAGCATGAGGCTGGAGCTGGACGCGCTGCGCGCCAAGTACGAGGCCCTGCAGACCTTCGCGCGCACCGTGGCCCGCGGCCCCGTGGCGCCCTCCAAGGTGGCCACCACCAGCGTCATCACCATCGTCAAGTCCCCCTCCGTGCCCTTCTCGGCCGCCTCCTAGTGCCGGGGGCCGGGCGCCAGGTGGGCGGGCAGCGGGCACGTCCCCACGCTTGTCAGAGGGCCCATGGGGACAGACCCCCGACGTCCGAGTCCGCACGCAGACTCCGGCGGGGCCCCCGCGGGCGGCTGTGGGTGCCAGATGAGGAGTAGGGTCTCGTGAAGCTGTGCGCCACACGCCTTCCCCCACGCGCCCACTCGCGCCCACGCCCACGCGCCGGCCGCCTCGGCCGCCTGCTCTCTCCAGACCGCCTGCTTTCGGGGGCCTGCGTCTGCCAGGGGAGCCGGCACGTGCGGAACGAAGGTCCCCGGGCGGCACCAGGCCGTGTGGCCAGACAGCAGGGGCTGTGTCTTCCATCCGTCCGGCAGCTGTCCCCTGCCGTGACCGCCGGCCAGCTCGGAGCCCTCTGCCCTGACTGAGCCCTGGTTTCCAGGAGGAGTTTCTGTCCCTGGCGCCCACACACGGCGACTCTGCTGCAGCCCTACCCGGGAGCCTGCGCCAGCAGGAGCTGTGGGGGGGCCGGGGCAGCGGCCTGTCACAGGTGGTCACCTGGGGCCTGTGGGGTCCACGTGGAGAGTTGTCTGCATGTTGTGAATTGTCACTGTGTCGGGGTGACGAGGGAGGCCCCCGGCCCCCAGCAGCACTTGTCTGGCCCCGCCGCCACCGAGGAGCCCTGGAGGGTGGAGCCAGGGGCAGGCGGGGGTGGGGGCCCTGGGGCCGGGAGGGGAAGGGGGCAGCAGGCAGCGGTGGGCCGCACCCCCCCATCCCTGCTGCTGGAGGCGGGGGGGCCGGGGTGAGAAGGGGCGCAGCTGGGGAGGTGGGGCACCCGCCAGCCTGTAGGTGCAGAGGGGACCGGGGCTCTGCGACCTTGGTGCTTGGTCGTCCCGCAGCCTCCGCCGGCTCCCTCCGCTGCGGAGCCACGGCGGCCTTGGCCACGGCGGCTGGGGTTCCTCCCCGAGAGCTGCTGCGGCCCCGCCCCGGGCAGGGTGCCGGCTGTGCCCGGAAGGGCTGCGTCCTTGCCGTATCGGCGTCGCAGGGGGCAGCCTGCGGTGGGGGGGGCGCCGGCGGTGCCCTGAGGCTGCGTCCTCAGCGCAGAGGCCGGTGCCCGGAAGCTGCCGGGGCGCGGCTGTGGCAGGTAATCCACATTGGATGTCAGTAAGGACCGTGGGGAGTATTTAAGAGAGAGAGAAGTATATATATAAAGTTATACACATTCTATCGTGCAGATTTTTGTACCTTTTCCCGTTTGATACTGTAAACCCACAGCAGAGCCGCAGCCTGTGTGGGTCCAGGCTGGCGGCTGGGCTCGCCCGCCGCTCCTGTCTCCCCGCCTGCCCTCTGCCGGGTCTGCGGGGCGGGCGGGCCTGGGGGTCAGCCAGCGCCCGCTGGGTGCCTGTCCCAGGTTCCCCGCCCGGTCCCGTGGGAGGCGGGCAGCCGCCCGCTGAGGGGGTGGGGGCCCTGCGCTTTCCTTCCCGAGTGTGGAGGCTTCATCGTCACGAGTTAATATATGGGTTTCTATTTAAGAGAAAAGGCAAGGACGCGCCACGTGGGGCTGTGCTGTCTCCTGTGCTAAGGCGCCCCCCCCCAGAGGCTGCCCCCACCTCCCCCTTACCCCACCGCTCAGCAATCTCATTTCAATATTTATTTTTGTGCTGCTTTTATCCCGATATAAATTATTGAGAAGAGACCCTATGTTGTGGCCCTTGTCCACGAGGCACGTGGCCCGCCCCGCCCCACGGCCACCAGCTAATTTATTGCTGTACATCTCTGCCGGACGCTTTTGTACCTTTGCAATAAAGTTTTCTGGTTTCAGATGTGTCTCTGTGTGCAGTCGGTGCCCTGGCTGTCGCATGGGCTGTGCCCCGCGGCCCAGCCCCCCCACCCCCACCCCCTGGAGAGCAGTGTCCACGTGGGGTGCTGCCAGGAGCGGGTCTCCCGGGCTGCGAGGCCCCGTGTCCAGACAGCCCCTGGGTGGGCGGGGCGGCCGGGCTCCCTTCCAGGCTCGTGGGGGCCCCTCCCCAAGCTGGGCGTGCAGGGCGGCCCCCGCCCTCACAGCCTGGCACCTCAACTCTGTCCTGCCGCCTCCAGAAGCCTCCCTGCCCTCTACCTGCTAGCTGAGCTGTGGGTGGCCCAGCCAGGGGGGCCGACGGGCCCTCGGGGCCTCCCAGCTGGAGAGGGTGGGGGACTTCCCAGCTGGTGGGGCGTGGGTGGGGGCTGGGCCCTGGGGGGCTGCCAGCCGAGTGCCCTGTCCCCAGGCCCAGGGAGTGCCCCGAAGCCCTGGCCCCGCCCTGCTGTCTCTGAGACTCCTGGTGCCCCGCCTCTCCCAGGTGCCACGGCAGCGGGGGGTGGGGGGGGTGCTGGGAGGCGGACCCTGGGCCTCCCTGTCTGCTGGCTCTTGGGCGCCCTCGCCTGGCTCCCACCCACCCTGCCGGACGCCCAGACACAGGACAGATGGGGACCTGCAGCCACTGCTGCACTCAGCCCCTGCCCACGCCGTGACCCTGACGTCCACACTGGGTCACCAGTCACGGGGGCTCCAAGAGGCTCCCCCTCCCTGCTTCTGTTCCCCTCTTGGCTTGGGAGGCTGGGCCCTCATCCACCCGGGGTCAGCTCCCTGGAGGAGGCAGAGAGCCCAGGGTGCAGGCCCCAGGCGGGGGGAGGAGGCGGCATGCCCTGCCCCGGGGCACGGGGAGTGGGGGGACATGCAGTGTCGGGGCGCACTCCTGCTCTGCCCGGAGCGGGACGGTCCCCCAGCGCCCAGACTTCGACCCCCCCACAGCGCAGGTGTCGGGGCGCCAACCAAAGAAACAGGCACAGGGGCTGCTGGGACACCCAGGTTTATGTGTAAGCGAGCGGAAGCTCCGCCTGCGGCTCTGGGGCCTCTGACCCCGGCCCACATGAGGGGGCATCTTCTTGGGTGGGGGAGGCCACGCTGGCACACTACCCCCCCCACGGCGGCCACCTGAGGGGACGGCCAGCTGCTCCTGGCAGGCTCAGGCGCCTGTCCCACGGGCCTGGCAGGAGGGCTCTCGCGAGGGGCTTGGCCTTTGGCAAAAGGGTCCACAGCCAAGGGGCCCCGTCCTTCCCGGACGCCAGACCACCTGGCCGCTACAGCTCCTCGGCGGGGATCAGCACCCTCTTCTCCACGCTGCGGCTCCTGCGGCCCCCGCCGGCCACGCCAGGGCGGGGCCCGGGCCCCGGGGCCTCCTGCGTGGCCTGCTGCGTGTAGTGCTGGTAGGCGGGCGAGAAGTTGTGGACGGCGTCATGCAGGATGTCCTGTGGGCTCACGGTCTCCCGGAGGCCGCTGGAGATGCTTTGCATGGCTGCCACAGGTGCTGGAGTAGCAGCGGGTGCGTGGTGAGTGTGGGGTCTCCCCCACTTACCCCCCAGCCCCAGGCCTGCTCCTGCTGCCTTGGCCTGCCCGGGGCTCAGCTCGGCCAGCGAGGACCCCCAAATGCGGGCCCGGCTCCTCCATGGGCTGTCCCAGCCATGCCCCCAATGGGGCCACAGGTTTCAGGAAAGCCATGGTGGCCGGTGCATCCACAAGCCGTCCCTGCCCAAAGGGGCCACTCGCTAGGGAAGCCAGCACCAACAGACCCTGTCCCCCCGCCGCCAGGCCGGCCTGGGCGCCCGGGCGTGGTGGGCAGGGGCCTTGGGGCCCAGCGTCCGGTCCAGGCTGCCTGCCCCTGGGCCCCCGCGTGGCCAGTCCCGGGCTCGGCCCTCCCCGCGCATCGAGCTGACCTGCCCCAGACCCGTGAGCAGGGTGGGACGTGTGGCGAGAAAGGCACCCGGCGAGGGCAGGGCTGGCCCCCTCCACGCCGCCGCCCTGCCCCCCACCGCAGGGCCGCACCTGGCGAGCTGTCTTTCTTCTCCGAGTACACCTTGCAGGTGAAGGCGCAGCGCAGGGCCACGGAGGCGAAGAGCATCTCGATGCAGATGAGGAAGTGCTGGTAGCCAGCAGCCAGCGTGCCGGCCCCCACGCTGCTCCCGTCTACCGCCTGGACCGCAGGGATGGCCCCGCACCGCTCCAGGATGGCCAGCAGTACCCCTGGCGAGGCCACAGTCACTCAGGCGCCCCTGGACAGGAGGCGGGGCCGGCGAGGACCCCGGCCTGGAATCCCACGGCCGCCAGCCTCATGGGCTTGGCAGGGCCTGTGTGGGGGATGAGGTCTGGCCCCCACGGAGGCCCCGTGGCCCCCACCCCGGGGAGTCCTGCCCGCCCATGTGGCCCCGATCCATGCAGGGGGGGACTGGCATTCGGGGGCTCCGCAGCCGGGGTCTTGGATATCTAAGGCTCCTCACAAGCCCAGGCCCGGGCCCCCCCACAGCCCTCACCTGCCTGGGGGAGGGCCCACAGCCTGGCCGCCCCCGCGCCGCCCCCGCATGCAGCTCCGGCTGAGAGGGCTGTCACTCCCCATGCCGCAGCAGGGGAAACTGAGGCTGGGCCCGAGGGCCAGCGCGGGCAGGGGGAGGTGGGTTTGGAGCCCGGCGCTCTGGGTTCCGCGGCCTCACCCACCCTGCCAGAAGGAGAGAAAGACAACGGCCTTGATGGTGAGGAACTTGAGGACCGGCTCGAAGGGCTGCAGGAGCTCGCGGGTGGCGAAGTAGAACAGGGACAGAGCGTAGAGGGCCAGGGTGACCGAGGCGTTGTAGAGCAGGGTGACGTAGAGGTAGCCGCTGCGGAGGCTGGGGCCAGAGCCGGGCAGGGGTCAGGCCGGCCCGCGCCCTCCCACCCGCACCCGCGGAGCCGGCCCCCGCCCAGACCCACCCCCCCAGAGGGGCAGGGGGCCTTGCAAGGGAGTCCCCACCCAGCAGCAAGGACGTGGCCCTTCTCCTGCCCCTCCCCTGCCCAGCGGGCCACAGCCTGAAGGACACGCCCTCTGTGTTGTGGACACAGGTAGACGTGAGCGTGTGAGCCCGTGGTCTTTGGGCCTGCGGCGCCCTGGAATCCCCCGCCCCCGCCCCCCCCCCCCCGGGTGGGCGGGCCGCTGCGCGCACTCCTGGCTCCTCAGGGCTCACCCGTGACCAGGGCTGCGCCCTGCCGCTGCCCCCAGGAGTGGACGGCCTGCCCGCCCGCGCTGAGCCCCTCTCCAAGCACAGCCGCCCCCCCCCCCGACCCCCTGCGCGCCTCCCGCAGCCCCCTGCCGCGCCAGCCTCACTTGAAGTCCCCGTCGTGGTATTTGCCGACCGCCTGCAGGACGATGGTGACCAAGGCCATGACGGGCTTCACAACGCAGAACTGCAGTGTGGCCTGGGAGGGGGGGGGCGGGAGTGGGGGCGGGAGTGTGGGCGGCACCGGGCGGGGGCGGGACGGGGCGCGGGCGCGCGGTGCAGGAAGGCCCGCTCACCTGCTTGCAGAAGCGCAGGAACCCGATGGAGTAGGCCACGCCCCGCAGGCAGCAGGTGCCGTGGAGACAGCTGGACCTGCGTGTGCGAGTCCCTGAGGCCCGGCCCTGGGGGCGGGTCCCGCTGCCCGCCGCCCGCTGCCCGGGAGTGGAGGGGCCGGCGGGCTCCGCGGGAGGCGCTTACCGGACGGGCTTCCCGCGGATCTCGGCCAGGATGGCGCTCTCGCCGCCCAGGTGCTGGAAGCAGAGGCTCAGGAAGCTGTAGATGGCGAAGGCTGCGCCCGGCCGGCCGGCGGGCGGAGGCGTGTGAGCCTGGGCGCCCCTGCAGGGAGTCTCCCCGGCCAGCGCCCACCGCGACCCGTTTCTCCAAAGACGCACCGGGGCCCTGGCCCAGCCGTGGGCCGCCGTCCGCCTCGAGGCCCCCGGCGCTCGCCGCGACTCCGTCCCCGCGCCCGCCCGCCCCGTCTAGGCCTGGTTCCTTTCCCAGTCCCGGGCGGCCGGCGGCAGCCCGCCGCCCAGCAGCTCCGCCCCGGCAGGAGGATCGCGGTGGCCGTGAGGCGGCCCCGGCGCAGGCCCGAGGGCGCCGCTCGCTGGGCTCGGGCGGAGGAACCCGCGCCCACGCCGGAGGCGGGCGGGCCGCGCTCACCTTCGTAGCAGTCCCGCACCGAGTCCAGGTAGACGTAGTGCGGGCGGCCGCTCAGGAGGAGGAGGCTGAGCCAGGAGCTGAGGCCGTAGACGGGCACGATGAGGAGCAGGCGGATGATGTGCCTCTGCTCGGCGGGGACCGTGTAGGAGCGCAGGTGCAGGTAGATCTGGGGGGCGGGGCGGGCGTGGGGGCGGGGCCACGACCCCGTGGGCGGGGCCACTCATTCATCCTGGCTTGCGTTTGCGGTCATCTGTTCACTCGCTCGCTCGCTCATTCACTCATCCGTGGAGGGGCTCCCGCGGGGCCGTCACGGCCCCAGTGGGAACGGACATCCGGAAGGCAGCCTGGCACTTCCACGGGGACATGAGTAGGGCTGGTGCCCTTTGACCCCTATGCCGAAGGATGTCTGTTAGGGCCACGCAGAGTGAGCGCCATGCCCGGCGCTGGCCGGCTGATTGCGCCGTGGTGCAGCCACGCACGAGGGTGTCACCCCGCCAGGAAAGCGGAGACGCGCCCTGAGAGGATGCGACGTGGAGGACGTGTCCGGCCGGCGAGCCGGGCCGCACCCCCGCTGGGCTGAAAACGCGCGGGCAAAATGGGGAAAAGGCAGCGCTCTTACCCCTGGACCAGGGGAAGTGTGGGCGGTGACAGCTCATCTGTAAACGTTTCTAGAGTTTTCTATGATATTCCAGAGGAGGCGCAGTGAGCGGAAGGGGAGCAAGGCCGGGGAGGGTGGGCCGAGCAGCGGGCACGGGGTGTGCAGAGGCCGGCGCCCGGCCCGCAGGCTCAGCGGGGCGCAGGTGGAGGCTGGCAGCCCGAGCTGGCTCCCTGTCAGCCGCCGCTCCCCAGCTGACGCAGCGCGCAGGGGGCGGCGGGACCAGCCCCGGGGAGGCCCGCGCTCTGCTCCCAGGGCCAGCACCGCTGTCCTCTCCAGCCTCGCGGGCCCATCGTCACGGCAAGGGCTCCCGTCCCTGTCCGCCCCGTTGGGCCCTGGATGGGCTAAGGGGCGGGCGGGGGCGTCCAGGACGAGGGTGGGCCGGGGCGCTGCCGCCCCCGAGCCCCCGGCCGCTCAGCAGCCTTCGGCCCAGCGCCGCGGTGCTCACGGCCTTTCCCCCCCGCACCGATGACCGGGCCTGCCCCTTCCAGGCGGCCCTCTGCCTGGCCCACCACTGACTCCGGCCTCCCAGCTTTGCTTGCACGCCGCTCGGGGGCAGACGCGGCCCCTCCCCGCCGTGCCTTTCCGCATGTCGCATGTCGGGGAATTCTCAGGACCTGGCACTGCCTGCGCCGGCGCTCAGCAACCCCGTCCCTTCTGGACGCACCCTTGTGCCAGGCCTGGGCTGTCCTGTCTCCCGAGCTGTGAGGCTCTGGGCTGGGCGCACGGCCTCCCTTGTGAGGAGCGGACACCCTGTCCCTCCGCCGCGCTCCGCCCCTGCTCCTGCCTGGGCCTCTGGAGGAAGAGGAGCTTCCCCTCCCGGCTCTGGAGCCTGAGAGAGGCCCCTGGCTTCTCCCAGCCACGGTCTCCCCGTCCGTGGAATGGGACGGCAGTGCCGACCTCCGGGGACAGGCTGAGGGGCGGATGATGTGCTCCAGGCGAAGGGCCCTCGGCCCTCTGCCCCGCGAACCTCCGCCTCCAAGCCCAGCCCCACCCCCGCCCCCTGGCCGGCTGCCGATTCTGAGGCCTGCGCTCTGCAGCTCCGGCTCCCTGTCCAGCCAGGCCTCGGGCCTCGGCTGTCAGCCTCGAGGCCATCGCTGCGGCCCCACCCCCCCGCAGGGCCCGCAGGGCCCGGTCCGGAGGAGGTGCGGCGGGGAGGGCTTACCTGGTGGCAGGTGAGCGCCAGGGCGGTCCACACGGAAACGCCCGAGAGGCCGCGGGCCAGCGCGGTGCTGAGGAAGAGCTGGGAGGCGCCCTGAGAGCTGTTGCCCACGTGGTCCGCCCAGAGCCCGCCGGGCTCGGTGGGCATGGCCGTCGGGGTGCCGGGCTGCGGCCAGGGGGCCGACCCCGGGGGGCCTCCCGCAGGCCCCAGGAGCCCCGGGGCCTTAGTCATCTGCCCAGGCAGGGGGTGCTCGGCGGGAGGAGAGCGCGAAGGCGTCTGAGGCTGGAGACGGCCCAGGGCTAGGAGGAGAGGGGCAGTGGGGAGAGGCAGCTCCTCCCCCCGGCGGCGCCCGGGCTGGCGTTGGCCGCTGGCCCTTCCCAGGGTCAGGGCGGGGGCCCGAGTCTAACCACCCTGCCTGCTTTTCCTGACCCCACAGCCCGGGGCGCCCTCTGAGCACAGGGACCCCGGCTCTGAGGCCCAGGCCTGGGGCGCCTCCTTCACCGGGCTCAGCCACCTGGTGCAGGTATCAACTGCCTGACTGGGACCTGGGGCGGTCCCCATGTTTGGTACCGAGGCCTATGGGGAGCCTGCTAGTCAGGGACCAAAGACATCTGGGAAAGTAGGGGAGCCCCAGGTGCTGTGCAGAGTCCAGGGAGCAGGAGGTTCAAGGGGCGCAGCCCAGCACCGCCCCCCGGCTCCCTGGGGCCGTCTGGGTGCCCTGCTCTGCCCCTTGCTAGCCCCGCAGCCTGTCCTCAGCCACTCGCCCCTCTGCTGGGGCACCAGGCAGCTCCCCCCTCCCACGCCTGCCAACAGCTCTGTCTGGCCTCACCTCTTCTTCCTGCCTTGTCACGGCCTGGCACCTACGTCTCAGGCGGGACGCTCTGGCCCAGCCCTGGGAGACCTGGCTGGTCATTCGCGTGTCCACGTGGCCCCCACTGATGGCCCGCGGGGGGCTGGTCAAGCCCACTACCCGGAGGCCGCAGGAGCCCTGGGGAAGGGCAGCGGCTGCTTCATCGCGGGGTGGCCCACCTGAGCTCCACCTGAGCTCCCGGCGGCAGGGAGGGCTGCGGGGGTGGGGGAGGGGCTGTGGACACTCTATCCCTCCTGGCTGTTGCTCCGTGGCAGCTGGCTCGCTGGAACCTGCTGGCCGCCAGGTGCCCTCACCTGCCTGCGCCACCTGGCCAGGCAGCCACCTTCAGAAGACAGGTGGCAGGGTCTGCAGCGGGTCAAGGTGGGTGGAGCTGGGCCAGAGGCTGTTAGAGGGCAGGCCTGAAACCGGGGGGTGGGGTGCAGGGGACAGTTTCCATCGGGGGGCGAAAATTTCTGGAAGAAGACCGAGGTGGTGGTTGCACTGCATTGTGCGTGTATTAAATGCCTTAAAAATGGGTCAGATTTTTTATGAGAATTTCACCTCCATTCAAAAAGCCCTGTTCCTAAGAGGTATATCGGAAACACTTCTGGTTTTTTGGGGGGCAGTCCCTGGCCCTGCTTGGGGGCCGGATTCGCCTGCCCCACGGTCAGCCCCATGCCACGGCTGCTGCAGAAAGAGGCTCCCCACTTGTCTCTGGGGGGGCCGGGGGGCCTCAGCTTGTGTCTTGTCCCGCTCGGGCTGCGGAGGGGCGTGGGCCCTTGGGCGGTGGGCAGAGCTGCCGCTCTGTGCCATTCTGGGACCTAAGGGCCTGTCCCTTGTGTCACCGGCCCTCCCCGTGCATGGGCACCAGGGGTCACAGCCTGCTTTGCTGGGTGGTCGTGCCTTTTTAGAGGTGGGACTGGGGAGCCCAGAGGCTCGTCCATGTTTCCAGGGTCCCCCAAGGGTATGGGAAGCCCTGGGACGAGGCCGCCAACCCCTGGGGCGCGCCCCCTGCGGCCTCACGCGCACCATGCCCTCAGGAGCCCCGGCCCAGGACGGGCCCTGAGTCTCGGTTAAAGCCCCAGGGCCGCGCCCAGCCTGCACCCCCACCCCAACATGCCGCAGGGCCTCCCCCGAGCTCTGCCCGGAGCCCCGGGCGCGGTGCCTCCTCCCGGCCGGCTGCTGTCCTGCCGTCTCAGGTGTCACCTCGTCTCCTGTGGCTGCGCAGTGTCCTCCGCCCATCTCCCCGCCCCCCCAGGAACTTCCAGAGCCCGGTGCCGCCCGGCCAAGTCCGTCGTGTGGGGAGCCAGGGTCCTGGGCGGCAGTGCGGCCCCCCCTCCCCAGGCACAGCGAGCGCTAGCTGCGCGCCGACGGTGCTCGCCCCCAGCCCCGCCTGCCGTGGCGCCCGGGTCCCGCTGGTGCCGGGGACCAGCCCAGTGCCGCTCAGGGTGGGCAGGCCTGTGCTCACTGCCCATTGGGACAGTGGCTTAGGGGCCTTGCCGGGCAGACTCCAATGTCAGGACAAGGACAGGGCTGGCAGGGACCCAGGGGATGCACTCGTGCAACAGGTGGGCAAGCAAAGGCTTAAGTCCTTCCAGGCCGATGCTGGGGATGGGTGGGCGCCTGGCAGGGGCGCTGTGCACAGGCGCCACAGGCACGTCCCCCGCTGGAGCCACCAGGGCCCCGGGGGGGATGCTGCAAGCAGGGACCCCAGAGCTCTGCCTTTCTTCAGAGGCACCTCGCGACAGGAGGGAAGGCAGGCAGGAGGCCTGGCGGTCTTCCTGGCCCATCGGGCTGCCGGCAGCAAGGGGGCCCCGGGGATTCTGACGTCAGACCGAGCCGACTTATGGCCAGAGGGTCCCTGACCCCCCGGAAGCTCCTTCCGCTCCAGCCCATCCCCTGCTCTGATGGTGGAGGCCGGCCCAGTGCCGTTCGGGGCTGCTCCCACAGCTTTGCACCCCTGGCATGTTCGTGTTCCGCCACTGCCTCCAGGAAGGCCTCCGAGAGCCCAGCTCTGAGGCTGCCCCACCCCAGAGCCCCCTACACACTCTGGGCAATGCCTTTGCCTCATGGAGCAGCTTTGGCTTCGGCCTGGCCCTCCATGCCAGCGTGTGCCTTGTGTGCCTTCTATAACCCTGGGGCTCTGTGTGGCCACCTCAGCAGGCCCTTTACCGCTCCGCTTCCTCGTCCGTAGGGCCCCTCCCTGGGGTACAGCATGCAGGCCTCTACCGTCTCTGGGGACCTGGGACAACCTTCCTTGCTGTGCCCTGAGCTCAGGGGAAGGTGGCCATGTGGCCCTCCCAGGGCCCAGACCCCCAGATCAAGGCCAGTGAGCAAGCAGGACGCAGTGGACGGGGGAGGTGACCGTCCTCCGAGGTCAGTGAGCCCAGCTGTGCCGAGGCCCCGCACGGTGAACAAAGGGTTCGGGCCTGGAAATCGAGGGGTCGGCTCCTGTGTCCAGGAGGCTGACCGTTCTGCCAGGCCAGGGCTCTCTGGCCCCGAGGCCTGGTCCTGGGCACCCCGTGTCGTGGCCCGCGCGCGGGAGAGGCGGCGGGGCTGGCTGGGGCCGGACACTGACCAAGCCTGTCACTGGACAGACCGGCGGGCCCAGGTCTGGGCAGCCAGGGCCTCTGTCCAGCGTTCACTCTGCCCAGGTGCCCGGGCTGCTGGGTGTGGAGAGGCTGCCGGCCAGTCCCAGGCCTCAACGCCGTCGCGACAGTGCTGCCGTGCCCCCTGGTGACCTGTTGCCCGCCGGCTCTGGGCCTTGACGCTGGCACTGACCCTCCTTCCAGGCCGGCCCCCGTCTGGGGACCCCTCTGTAGCTGAGAGCTGCGCCGCCTGGGCCAGGGAGGCGCGGCGGGGGCCGCAGCGGTGGGGCGGGGTGGCCGGGCAGCCCGGGCCCTGGGCTCTGCGGGAGCCCGGGGGCGGCAGGGCCTGTCGCTGAGCGCTTGTCCTGGCCCAGGCAACGGCCATCGACTCAGTAACCCCACCACGGGGGCAGCCAGACCAGGACTCAACGTTGGCCAAGGGCACAGGTGCTCAGGCCTCCAGGCCACACACACAGCAGCGGGGAGCGGGGGCTGGGGGGACGGCCCCCCAGCCCCGCTCTGCAGGACAGGGAAGGATGGCATGACAGTCCCAGCCTGGGGTCCCTCAGGCGGTGGGCAGGCGGGGACGCACCGCCTCTTGGCTGACTTCTGCTCCTCGCCTGGGCCCGGGCACTGGGCGCAGGTCAAACCCGTGGCCTGGGACCCCAACCCACGGCCACGTCTGTGAGCCTGGGCCTCTGTCGGCCTCAGCTCCCACAGGTGACTGGAACCCCTGTGTGAGCAGGTCACCCGTCAGGATGGGGGCTCAGCTGGCACCCCCTCGGCCGTTCCTTTAGTCACAGGCTGCTGCAGCCGAGCTGGGCCTGCCCGCCGGGCATGTCCTGGGTGGGCTTCTCTTGGTTGCCAGGCCGAGGGCGGACCAGCCCAGCCACCCTGTTGGCCCAGGGCACCCCTGCGCTCGCTAGGGTTTCTGGGACTTCGTGCCATCCGCCTGTCTCGCCCACGCCGGGCCTGTGTCCCTCCCCAGGCCTCCTGCCTTGGTCTCCACGCGCGCATGCCCAGGGCCTGTCCATACCTGCCCATCGCCCCAGAGCGAGCTGCTGCCAGTCCTGGATGTGTCCCGGGGAAGCCAGGGCACCGACCTGGGCCTGGACTGACCAGACAGACCTTGGACCCTTTGGTTACCAGGTGGCTCCCTGGGCCTGTCAGGGGCATGACCTCTGGGGGCGGAGGGGCTGTGACTCTCAGAATTTCAAGGTGGGGGTGTTTTTCTCCAGGAGCCCCCACCCCCTTGAGTGCTTGGGGCCCCAGCGTGGACCCCACGCCCTCCTGTGCGCGTGCTCATGCACACACCCATGAACACAGACCCTGTACGTGCCACCCGAGGTCCCCCCACCCAAGGCGCACTGGATCGAATGCAGCCCGTGGGTCTGTACGTTCTCAGTGTTGATAAGAAGGGAGCGAAGCAGCTTGGGTTAAGCACTGGTTTTTAATACAAAAACAATCTCCCGCCGCCGCTGGTACCACACAGGGAGGGCCAGGGAGGGCCAGGAACACGCAAGGAGCTGGGCCCTGGCGAGGCCGTTCACGACTCCCAGGGCGCACTCCGCGCCTTCGCTCCATGGACAGGGCCGGCGGCCACACAGAAGTCTGCCGGGGACGCGCACCCGCCCGGCCGCCAGGCCTACCGCCGGGGAGCCCCTGCTTCTGCCTGACCGTGGGTGGGCCCGCACACCCAGAGGGCGCCGGCCTCCACTGGGCTCCGGCGGGCGCGGGTCACCACACCTGGCACGCCTGCACAGCCTGCCGCACGGCTGTCAACCCCTCCAGGCTCCGGTCCCTCATGGCCACGGCCAGGAGCACTGCTTTGTTCCCCGCTTCCTGCGACACGAACGCCCCCAGGTGCTTTGCGAAGACGTGGATGAGAGGCTGGGGAGGGAAGGGGAGAAACAATTTACATCTTTCCCCCTCTGATACTTTCATTAAGGGTCCCCGGGAACCAGACTGGCTTCCCACACCACCGTTAAGCCATGGCCGGAGAGCGTGATGGGCTGGGACCGGGGCTCAGCGAGCCTCACGACACCCTGCGGCATGAACGCGCCGCGGAGCAGACACCACTCAATTCATCCGCTTAGTGCGTCCCGGTTCGCATCTCTCCCGGCTGCGACTGATCCGGGAGGACTCCCGAAAGGCACGTCTGCAGACAGGACCTCTGTCAAGTCTCACTTCCAGAACGAGCGCGGACGGCCACTCGTTACCTTCATGTGTCACCACAGGGTCCAGCTTCAGGGGAGGCTCCCACCGCAAAATCAGCACCGCCCCTCATCCGCTGGATCAAGTGCTGACCGGCTGGGGAAAGCATCCGCCCCCGGCAGGTGGATGCCTCACCCACGGAGGCCCGGGACAATGCCGCCGCCTGCGCACGGGGCTGCCTACCTACTGGGTATTCCGCGTGCGTACGGGCAAGTGACAGCCACAGGAGCGGCTTTTCCGCCACCACGGAGACTCTTTCCCAACCACGTTACCTCGTCCTGCCCGAGGAGGACTTTGGTCGTGAGCACCGGCTTGCTGACGTCACTGGCCACCTTGCTGGGCTCCACGGCGACCAGGGTACCCATCTTCCCGAACTGGGTCACCACCACCAGGATGTGAGTGCTGAAGGCTGTGCAGACCACTTGGGTGGGGACCCCACGCACCACTTCAGTCCTCTGTTTTGATGTCACCAAGGGTTTGCCTTCCATGGCTGGGCCTCTTTTACGGCACCTTTCGTTTATGTAAGACAGGAAGGCGCGGAGGGAGGCAGAAAGGGAGGAAGAGGAGCAAGTCAGCCAACGTCAGACGCGCCCTGCCGCTCCAACAGGAGCATCGCTCGGCCTTAAACACAAACAGATGCGGCCCATTCAAAGCCAGAGTCTCTGCCCACGCGGGCTTCCCCTGGGACTTTCCGGAGCCGCCGGTTGGACGCGCGCCTGCGCCGACGGGCCGGAGCGAAAGGGCGCTGCCAACTGCGCCTCGGGGTCGCGAGGTGGGGCGGCCGCGTTCCCAGCCGGGTGGCCGCCCACGCCACCGGCGCGGGGGAAGGCTCCCCGGGGGAGCCAGCCGTCGCCAGAGCAGGGGCGCGCGCTCCGCCGGTCCGCCCGCGGAGGCTTTACTTTCTGCGTTTGGGGAAACAACCGGCCCCACAGCACGACCGCCAGGCCGGGCACAGAGCCCGGAGGCGCGAGGCAGCGGGCAGCGAGGAGTCCACCCGCCACCAGCCCGTGCGCGCTCACCTCAATCACGGCGCCCGGAAGTGACGCACAGGGACGGTGCGGGCCCGCCCCCGCGCGGCGCGGCGCGGCGCGGCCCTGCCCTGCCGGATGTGCGGCCTCCGGGTTTCCGGTCCCCTGGCCGGGCCTTCCGGCTTGTGAGTCCTGGCCTCCCTGCTTCCCTGAGTGCTGGCGGGGCGCTCGGGAGCTCGGTGCCGGGCGTTTAGGGAAGGGCCTGCGGCCTCGGGCACGGCGCCGGCGCCAGGCCCTGCGCGCAGGGCGCCCCCGCTCCCCTGGTCCGTCCCTTGAAGGTCCGGGCCGCGGCCTTGGGTCCGGGGTGTCAGGAAACCCTGGAGGGGCCGCCGAGCTGCGCAGACTTGGCCCCGAGGGTGCCCTGGAGCCAGGCCGACGACGTGCCGCGAGCGCGGCGTCAGTCGCCCCCGGCAGGGCTATTCGCAGCTCCTGGCCGGCATCTGGGACTCTGGGAGGGGGACGTAAGGCGGGCCTTGGGTGGCGGGAGAGTCGAGCGCACGTGCCATGCTTTTTGTTGTGCGTTCCCCTCGACGCACAAGAACGGAAGACGGGGGCTGCCTAAGGCGGAGTCGAGCCCTGGGCCCGGGCGGGACTGCCCACCGGTACCTGCCCGACTGGGGAACATGGTCAGCCGCCCTAGGGAACCCCTTTTTTTGTGCACGAGGGTTGTCGACAAGGGGCCCCAGCACGGACCTGGGTTCAACCCCAACTTCAGCCTGCGCCGTGGAACTTGGAGTCCGAGAGCAGGTGGGGTCAGTGGGATGGAAATTACTAAGAGGAAGGACGGGGCGAGGGGCATTCTAGCCAAACCCGCCTGGTGCAATTCTTGCTGAGGGCAGGCGCAGGTGAACCGGCCACCCAGGGGATTCTTGCTAAAGCTGAAAAACGCAGAAACAGCACAGAAGTCCCAAAGTAGGGCCCAGAGGAGCTGGAGTCAGGGCAGCCTGCCGGGCATGAGGCCTGGCTGAGAGCCCTGGTCAGATCCCTTTGCCCCTCCAGCCCCTGCCAGGCCTGTGCCCCCCCCGCCCCCCCCCCGTGCCCATCTGGGGGACCTTTCACATCCAAGGGACTAAGAAGAAGAGCTAACGTGTATTTGGCACCTAGTGTGTGCCTGGCATTGTTGTAAATGCTTAATATAGCAACTTGTTTAATTTTAACAGCCCCCCGAAATAGAAACATTTTATAGATAGGATGTTTGTGCTCGGAGACCTTGCCCAAGGCCGCAAAGCTGATAAGGGCTGGATCTGGGCTTCAAACCTTTACCCGTACTTACGGGTCTGGGTCCCACATGCCCAGGTCGAGGGGGAGGAGGGGCCGGTGCTGCCCTGTAGGAGGACGGCTTCTGGTTCCTCCCAGGGACCCCGAGAGCGCCCCACAGCTCATCCTTTATCCAAATGTTATTGGCAGGTTGGAGCCTCTTGTGCCGATTCCACAGCGATCTGGGCCTGGAGACCCTTCCTGAAGGGGGTATAACATCCCTTCAGACTCACACGCAGGGGCCCCTCTGTGCAGGTTCCTGAGGGCCCTATCCAGGCACCCGCACCACCCCACAGCACCCGCCCCGGCAGCCCGAGTCACGTCCCGTGAGGCGCGCTCTTCCCAAAACGATTCCGGGTGGCCTCAGAGAAGAGGCAGGCGCGCAGGACGTGATCACAGTAGACGTGTGAACCCAGAGGAGACGTGTTGGAGCTCGCTTGCGGCCCGTTCACACGGGAGCATTCTGAGTTCCCCGGCTCCAAGGCGCAAAAAGGAGGGAGGAAACGTGTAACTTCCCAGGAGAGTCCCAAGTTTTGTGTTGGCTCTGAGTTTAAACACACATCCGCCCCTGCGTGCCCCCCAGCGCAGACGGCCAGCGTATCGCCGCGCCATGCGGGCCCCTCGGGGCTCCTTCTCTTAGACCCCCGCCCCTGCGTTCTCTCTCTACAGGATAAAAGACACAGAGTCTGGTGCCCCCACCCCAGCCAACTCAGACGTAACGACAACTGTTAAAAAACATGTTGAGGGACAGAACAGACGGTGTTTTGTTGACGTTGTTAAGCAAATATGTGCTTGTCACGTGTCTGGGGGTCTAGGTCTTTGATAAAGACTGAGTGTGAGGGAAGAGGGAGGTGGGAAGCTTGTCCCCGGCTGAGCCCAGGCCTGAGGGGGTGCAGGTGGAGTGGGCACCGCAGGACAACGGAGCAGCCTTGTGCAGCCGGTCAGCACCTGCCGCTGGCTGGTCCCAGGGCCTGGCTCTCACTAGGCTGGGAAGAGAGATCCCTGAGGTGAAGTCACTTAAAACGGTAGACAAATTGTCATAGCGTTAATAGTGGAGCAAGAGAATTTGAGAATTTATCTTGAAAAACAGTTACAATAACGGGGGAGGGCTGTGCAAGGAGCTGGCGGCGCCAGACCCCGGGAGGGCGGGGCCGGAGTGCCTGGGCTGCCGGCAACCACCTCCGGGGGGCAGCAGAGGCCACAGAATGCTCTGGAAGGGTGGCGCGGGACCGGGCTTCACCAGGGTGGGCGAGGAACCAAGGTCTCCCGCCTCCTTGCTCCCCGCTGGAGAAGGGGGCTCTGGCCTCTCTCGGTCCCCTCCCACTTTGTCCTTGTGCCCAGCACTCAGCCCGCCCCCGTCTGGTCTCCGACCTGGATGTCTCTCCCTTAGCCAAACAGTCCCCTAAGGGCAAAGCTTTGTCCTCTGACGTTGTGACATTGGGGATTTACGTCACAGACACCTGCTGAGCCTGCCCCAGGGCCAGACCCTTTGTGGGTAGCGGAAGGTGGCAGGCGAGCCGCAGGCTGTGGGAGGGCGGCAGGTCTGCGGGGCCGAGGGGCTGGGGAGCGTCAGCTGGTCCAGACTGGGCTGCGCGGACCGTGCTGCCCACTGACTGTTCTCGCAGTCAGTCATGGAGCCTCAAAGGACACGGAGAGCAAGGTGCCCGGTTCCCGCCTCACTGGGCGCGGCTTTGCAGACTCCTGGGGGGGACGCGCTCCCCGCCCTCGGGCCCTCTGGAGGGTCCCCGGGTGTCAGGGCGATGTCCTCATGGCCCCTCGCCGGGATGAAGCCCCACAGTGTTGCTCAGAAGGGTCGCGGGAAGGGGGCCCAGCCTCCCCTAGGGCTGAGCCTGGAAGAACTTCGTGGGGCCAGGCATTTTGAGGAGAAATTGCAGGCACTTGGCCAGACTTGGGTTTTTTAAATAACTTAAAAACTTGAGACATGATTCACGTGTAGTAAAATGCACTTGGTGTGCAGTTCTGTGAGTTTTTAAAAATATTTATTGATGAGAGAGAGAGAGAGGAATGGAGGAAAAGAGAGAGACGTCAGTTTGTCCCACGTATTCACGCACCCACGGGTTGATTCTCATCTGCGCCCTGACCAGGGTCGAACCTGCACCTGGGACGACCTCCAACCGCCTGAGCCGCTGGCCAGGGCCAGCTCTGTGAGTTTGGACACACGTGTGTGGTCACGTGACCACGGACACACACAGGTGCAGAACAGCTGCCGCGCCCCCCCAATTCCCTCCTGTCCTGGTTTAGTCGGCCCCTCCCCCAACCCCGAACTGTGGCCCCATCGTCCTTGTCCCTGTGGTTCTGCCTGTTCCGGAGCGTCACCTGAATGGAGCCCCACGGCCCATCGCGCAAGGGCCATCGGAGGGTGAGCTGTGCCTGTGTCTGTGCGTGTGTCCACGTGCACGAGCGTGGGTGTACGTGTGTGCGTGCACACACACAAACGCGTGTTGCATGAGTGCATGCGCGTGCATGCACGCAGGTAGCAGGGCCGCCCCCCCCCCCCCCCCCCCCGCCCCGCTCCGGCTCCCACGCCCCCGCTCCCTGTGCCCCGCTTCCCTGCGCCCCCCTTGGCCCCACCCCCCGCTGCCTTCATTCTTCCTGACTCGTCTTTGTCGGTTTTCACTGGCCACAGCATTTTTCAAAATGTTTTAATTTTGATAAAATAAACATAAAATTTGCCATTTTAACCATTTCCAAGTGTCCGGTTCAGGGCATCAAGCACATCCGCAGTGTTGTGCGGCCATCGCCACCACCCTCTCCAGAACGTCCCGTGGCCCCACAGCCGGGCTCTGTCCCCGCGCACACTCCCCCCCCACCCCCCGCCCGGACTCCGCCGCCCGTCCCTGGGTGTGAGCCCCCCAGGCCTCCCGCGGGTGGGGTCACACAGCACACGTCATTCCGTGTCTGCTTCTGTCACTCAGCCCAAGTCCTCGAGGCTCATCCCCGTTGTAGCAGATGACAGAGTTTCCTTCCTGTTCAAGGCTGACCGGCCGCCCACTGTGCAGACGGACCCCAGGGTGTCTCTCTGCCCACCCGTCCGCGGACGCTGGGGCGGCTTCGGCTGCTTGGCCGCCGTGAATGATGCCGCTGGGGGCGGGGCATGCAGGCACCTGCTAGAGCCTCTGCTCCATCCCTCGGGGAGCGCCTGGGTGGCCAGCGCCACGAGCAGCTCCTGGGTGTCGGGGCCCTGGCTCCCGCGGGCCCGCCCGTGGCTGTCCTCTGCCCGGCCCCCCTGCCTCCCTGCAGTGGCCACAGAGCCCCTGCCACCGCCATCAGTGGGAGGAGCAGAGGCCACAGCATCTTCCCTGGGGGTGGGGGGGGCCAGCCCGTGCTCTTCCTTCCAAGTGCGGTCAAGGTGTGAGATGTGGCAGCAGCTCGGGACAGGCCAGCCAGCCTCCCCAGGGCGCGGGTGGAGCACTGAAGGGGCGCACAGGGAGGCCGGCAGGGAGGCCGGCAGGCCAGATCCCGCCTACTCCCACACCGTGGAACCGCTAGGCCGCTGCCCCGGGCAGGACGGACAAGGCCTTGCAGAGCAGGCCCCTCCCGGTCAGCGGGCTCTCAGTGCGGCAGGGTGTGAGGCAGGGCCCTGGGGCGGGGTCACGCACAGGGCACCCGTCCTGCCGCCAGCACCTGCTTGTCACCTTGGAGGTCAGGCTGGGCTCTGTCTCCTCGCTGGGGCGTCCGGCTAGAGCGCCGGCACCTCCCCTCTGGCGCAGCCATGGCCACCGTGGGTCTGGGTTTCCCCGGCTGCCCCGAGGCCGC